TAATAATATCAGTCAGCTTCACAAGCTCTCCGTCCTAAAAGAAATCATGAAATAATGGACCAAGTTCCTGGATCACACTAAAAATAGGTACTTGCTTGTTGAGGGGAACTTCCGTATCAATAAAGTAGCTGGTTTTTACTTTTTTTTTTAAATGATAGATTTGACACAGTGAAAATAAAATCATTTCTGACACGCTGTACCTAACTGTAAAGCTGTCATATGTGAGAAAGTTCACAGTCACAGCCCTTATGAGATTTACCTAAACTTTCTGTCGACGTCAGCACGTCACAACATGGTGCTGGTTGTTGGTATCATTGACTAGAAAGCCGTACGTGATGGAAGGATATTTCCACAACAAATAAACGCAACAAGGTAGTGCAGCTGTCGCCATACTGTGGCCACGCTATCGCACGGCCCAGTGCTGGGCGCGCCACAGCAGCGCACACGTGCTGCTCCGGCTGTTGCTGCTCGGCATGGAGTCCGTGTACCGGTTGATAAGGCTGCGGTAGCCCCTCCCCACCGTGGCCACGAGGGGGTAGCCCTGGCCGCCGCCTAGGGCCTTCCCCGGAGGTCCTGACGGGGTTGTCGCGCTGGCCGAGTCCACAGAGCTGGCCGTAGAAGAAGCGGGGGTGGAGCCCGTGCCGGAGGAAGCCTCACTGAGCGCGCTCTCGGGCCGGGCGTTGGCCGCAGGCGAGGTCTCGGCGCTGGGGCCCAGGGGCACAATGGCGGCCACTTCCTCCTCAAAGGGCCTGAAGACGGTGACGGGGCGGAGAGTGGCGCGCTCCGCCACGACCACGCAGCCCCAGGTCGTGCCGATGTAAAGCTCGCCGCCCTGGACGGCTAAGGCCGTCACCTGACAACGGCCCGGGCTCAGGTGCTCCTCGATGCTGATGGACTTGAGGCTCTCCGAACACGGCACCAATTTGGAGCAGTCCAGTTTGTTGACGAGCGTCTTGGTGTCCACGTCCCACTGGTGCACCACGCTGCTCGGGTGCACGCAGGACCACACGAAGCCGGCCGCTGAGACGAGCTGGCGCACCTCCTGCAGCGGCGCGGCCGCGTGCTCCGGCTCCGGGTGCTGCACCACGTCGTGGCCTGTGACCACGTTGTCGTGGATGGTGTAAACGGACACGTTGCCGTGGCCCTCGCCGCACCACAGCTCGCACAGCGAGCCGTCGTCACAGTCGAGGAACACGGCGGTCAGTGAGTGCAGCGCGCTACTGCTGCCGAGCTCGGCCATGACGAAGCTGCCCTCGGCCATGGTGGGCGCGGCGGGCAGGGTGTCGCTCCGAACCAGGAACAGCCTGCCGTTGGACAGCCCCACAGCCACGCGTGCCAGAGCGGGCAGCGGCAGCAGGCAGCACACGCTGTGCCCGTCCTCGTCGTCCGGGTCCAGTCGGTACGAGAACAAGTGCGTGCAGTCCGCCGCCGAGTACGCGTGAATCTGCCCAGCTGTGTCGCCCAGCCACACAGCGCCCTGGTTCTGTCCCTGCGCTTGGCCGAGGCCGTTGGGGGAGGCCGGCACGTGGCACGCGGCCGACAGGGCCCGCGGGGCCGTCAGGCTGTACGACTGCAGCCAGCTGCAGGGCGAGGCCAGCAGGAGGTCCACCGTGCCGCCCCGGGCCAGCCAGGCCGCGGCCACGCCATCCTCCGCCACCCCGAGGCACGTGCTCGTCGTCCCCACCACGGCCTCGGCGTGCTCCAGGGACACGGCGTCACACAGGTGCGTGAACTCGGGCGCGGACGAGATGGACACCACCTGGCTGGCGGACGGCCGGTCCGTCGGCTGCTGTGACCAGCACAGCGCCATCAGGTCCAACATGTAGCTCGGGTACTGGGTCTCCTGCAAGAAGAGGAGGGAGTTAAGAGGCTCCAAAACAGCGCTCTGAATGTTTATCAACCTCACCAAGAACCGCACTACTTACCCGGTAGGTCAGCGGCGGCCGCCCGCCCTCCAAGATGCACTCTTTGACGGATTCGTGGCCCTCGAAGGGCTGGTGGAGTGTTAGGAGCTCGTAGATGAACATGCCAAAGGAAAAACAATCCACCTGCCATCGGATTTTACGTCAGAAAAGGCACAAAAATGGTTTCCAATAGAACTTTATAATGGCACTTTAATCTACTTACCTTTTCTGTGTACTCCTCTTCACCGTTAAACCGCATTATTTCGGGGGCCATAAACCCTTCAGTTCCACCATATCCTTTCGTGCCAGACGGAAGGGTGAGGCGACTTATGCCTGAAAATGAAAACGACCAACCCATTTTGTCAATTGCTGTATGAACAAATGATACCGCCCTTATAAAATCGGAATATTCTCTGACCATAATCAGCGAGTTTGATGTGAACAAGGTCGTCAGGGTGGTCCTGGAAGGGTGGTGGCAGCTCCCAAACCAAGACGTTTTCAGACTTGAGGTCCCTGTAGATGATGTGCTGCTGGTGAAGGTACTCCAGAGCCTTAGCCGCCTGACGACATAGAGAACAGGATCGATAAATAAGTGATGATCAGTTGGGGGCAGTAGAGCGCCTGGTGGGTAGGCCGTCCTGTTGCGCGCGCGAGCCCAGCGGGTTTGCCTATGCGCCGGGCTGCAAGCGCCTAGTGGGTAGGCCGTCCTGTTGCACGCGCGAGCCCAGCGGGTTTGCCTATGCGCCCTGCTGCAGGCGCCTAACGGGTACGCGTGTCTGATCGGCCCCCCGAGATGGGGTACCAGGCGCAAGACTCACCTGCAGAATGATTGCCTGAAGCGCGAAAGGCCCCAGCCGCGCGCCGGAGCGCCGGTGGTGGCGCAGCACGGCAGACAGCGCGCCGTGCGGCGCCAGGTCCAGCACCAGGGCCAGCGGCTTGGTGCACACGCCCACCAGCGGTACAATGTGCGGGTGCCGCAGGCTCAGCAGGATATTGAGCTCCTGACGCGCGTTGCAGTAGGCCTTGGTGGCGTACTGCAGCGGGTCGCGCGACCACTTGCCCTGCGCCGCCTTGAAGGCCATGACGGCCGACTGGTGCGCGTTGGGACCCGGCTGCACCGGCTGCAGCATCTTCATGGCCACGTCCACGTGGTGGTTGGGGTTACGCGCGCCGCCGGGCCCGGGCCGCTGACACGACCCTTTGAACACGAAGCCGAAGGCGCCGCGGCCGAGCAGGCGGCCCTGCTGCATGTGCTCGGGCCGGATCAGGTAGCGCTCGCCCAGGTCGAGGAAGATCTACAAAGCAAAAAGCCGTGGTGAGCTGGTTGATTGTGAGGTCAGGAGAGCAGGGTCAGGGCCAGAGGGGAGTGTCAGTGTCTTACAGTGTCAGGTGCAACCTGGGCGAGGGCGAAGTCCCCATGGACGGGACAGGTTACTGCCTTCCTGTCGTACGCAGCAAGGATGCACTCCTCGACCATCCAGCTGAACTGCACGCCCGAGTCGTCATCCGACCGGTACGCTTCCTCGCTGTAGTTGGGATGTCCCTCTTTAGAGGGATTCCGGCTGGTAAACAAGAAAATTAAATTTAACATCCTTTACATGTAAAACACATCATCAGTTAGGGTGAATCATATTTCTCATCTCTTCCTCCTACCTTGAACCAGTACTATCAGGTCCGACACCACTGTCTCCGTCAGAAGCAGAACTCTCCTGGCTTTTTCTTGTCAGCCGACTCAAGAAGCCTGGTTCACTCTCGGATTGGATGAGAGTCTGAAAAGAGATTTACAACATAATTAATAAAGTTATACAAAAGTCCTTAAAATCGTAAAAAATATATTACTCGCTTGATAACTTACTTTGGAAAGGTGAGAGGGTCGAACAGTTTGAGACACATGTTCCCAGCCATCAGAGTCTTGAGATCGGGGTCGATTTACACCATTATCCTCATTATCACAGTTGAGATTGATACATCGTGGACATGGCACAAGGCGGGTTACAAGAAACCGTCCCTCAGAGGTGTGGACAAATCTTGTGCCAAGAGTTGGGTACCAATCTTCTAAAAGTACATCAATATGATCCACAGCCAGAGCAAGCAATTTTGTGACGTACTCTGGGCTTGGATCAAGAACAACAGCTTGATAGCCAATGGCCTCTCCACCTGATAATTCATCAGTTATGGGCCGCTTTATGACCACTGTATCAACAGGAAAGTATATTTCTAGAATTGAAGAACTTGCTAAATCTACATCTGTCCATGAGCCTTCTTGCTTGACCCGCAGCTGAAGCTGACTATAATCCATTGGACTATTCCGCATGGTGGGTAAAATCTCTTTCATGCGGAAAAGAGTAGTGTCAGCATAGCGGAGTTCCATGCCTAGATAACAGGAAACATTTAGAACAAGTGCACTGAGATACAGTGTAAAGGGTATTACATCCAACAATAACACCTACCTGTTTGCCACAGAACCCAATCTGCTCGTACATCAAGCATCTGTGCAAGACGTGCATCAGTAGTAACCTCTTTGGGCATGATGAAAAAGGAACGCACAATGTCCACAACTGCATCATCAGCTAGGATGCGGGTCATGAGCCTTGACCAGAAGCCACTAGGAAAATATGACATAAGAAGCAGCCTTCTGATGGAGGCCTCTGGATCACTTCGATGGGTCAGCTCACAGCTTGCTGCAGCAGCAATAGCAGTTGCAGTAGGTTCTGCCTCCATTGCAGTTTCCACAGCTGGAAATAAAAAAGATTACATTCTTAAAAAATTT